GCCCACCTAGAACCCCACCCTGGACTCCTTCTGCAGCAAATCCAAAAAGCCACCGCGGTCATCAGTGTTCCACCCCACCTCACCTTGCTTGAGGAAAGTTTTCAGCTGGTGGACTTTGGCATGCTTGACCCCTGCCTGCCCACCCCCGTGTGGGTATGAGCGCGCGTGTTTCGCTGACTCGATCAGGACCAGGTCACCTTTTAGCCATTAGGTGAACCTGCAACCCTCACCTCCACGCATGCCTATTTCAATGCCGCAGCTTTGCTGGGTTGAGGTTGTAGTGGTGGTTGGCAGATCTATTTTGTCCCACCCTCCCTCCCCACCACAAAACTTATCCTGAAGCCAAAAGCGGGACACCGCAAAACTTGCCCTGAAACCAAGACACCGTGTGGGCGCCACCCTGGGCCCCCCCTGGGACACCACAAAACTTGCCCTGAAACCGAGACACCTGTGTGGGCACCACCCTGGCCTTCTCGTGGGACACCACAAAACCTTAATCCTTAAGCATTCCAGGGGCTGGACAAGATAGATGGATAGATAGATAGATAGATAGGTTACTACTGACTCATGACGTCGCCTTTTTGCTGGCAGCCCTGGCCGAATCCAGTCAGCCCCGGTCCACGGCCCAAAGATCTACACACGCAGGTGCCAAAGTCAAGGCCTCTGAGTGAGAAAGGCGCAGAGTTGATAAGAAAGAGAAGAATAAAGAAGGTGTTTGGATCGTTTAATAAAGGCCCCTTTAAAGGAAAAAGATTGTGTTTTGTATCGAGCCAGAACATGACTCACTCAAGTCCAGGCATGTGCGTCGATAGGCGCACAAATCCTCACTCCTTTGCTAGCCCAAGCTACTCCCGCTGGATCTCCCCTTCTGCGCCGCGGGATCAAACGTTCGTGTCCCGGCTAAGACATGCCCGTTCACTCTTCCAAATCAACGAATTCGGCTTTTCGACGCGCCGCAGTATGCGTTGCAAACTTCAATCACTCCAAACGTAACAAACACGTAACTGCTTCTTTTCAAACGCATGCCGTACTTGCGCGCGGCGCATGCGGACGCTGACTATGAAGAAGGTCTTCCTGCGCACATGGTATCCCACCATTCGAACTCAGACGGTATTTCCCCTTCGCTAACGCTGATGTCGCCTTCCAACTTCCATAAGATGCATACCTTGCTGCGTGTGACAAACACATGCCATTGCCTTCTGATGATGACCTACACCAACATACAACATATGGCATTGCTCTTTCACTACTTCTTTCATACCAAACTTATCCCAAAGCCGCCCAGCTTGCTTCTCTGCTCCCTTGATCACCATTACATACGTCCCCCCGCATCCGCGGCTGCTCGCAAGCTGCCGACCATGTGTCTTGCGCCGCGACGCCCGCCAGAAAAAGAGACACTCGTCTGGTGGCTGCTGGCTTTCGTCCCCCCTTCTCAGGTTGTTTGACATCATCGCTTAGAAAAGACACAAGCGTGCAAGCAAGTTGCTCAAACCATTTCGGTTCGGTTTTGATTGCTCTTGGCTCAGAGGCGGACTGGAAGAATGCCCACCAACATTGCTCTCACTCGCCATTGGAGGTTCAATTAAATCATATTCAATCCAACTTTGCTTGGAGCTACACCACCTTAGATGGTGCGTGAATATTGAGCGAGCAGCAACAGCCACACAGATTTGCAAAAACAAGAGCAATCTGCAGATTGCTTGCTGTGATCCCTTGCAGTTATATTCTTTTACGACGAAGTGTTGACATTTTAAGATTCAGGCCATGGGAGAGAGTGTGGGATGAAGGGCCGGTATTGATTCTTTCAAATTTTTAATATGTTTTCAGACCTTGGCTTTGGCGGCTCCTGGCTTTAGGTGGTTTTGGCCCGGCAATTTAAAACGTTTTGCAGGTTGCATATGGTTGCTTTGCCTGGCTGATGCTTCTTTCTTTGCCCATGTTGTTTTTTTTTTCCCTTCTTTGTTTGCTCTTGGTTCGTGCTGCTTTTCTTGCCTTTTTTCGGTTGGTTTTGTGACACTTTTTGGAGACTGTTGCAATGCTACCTACACCCCATCCTACCGTTCTGTTGTTTTTGGGTTCTTTTCTTGTCCAGACACATTCACGAAGAAAACACCGGAACACCTCTTTCCTATCCCATTCCCTTGTACTGAAAACGTTTGAAAACAACTCCCCAAAAGCAAACATGATCAAACATGCCTCTTGCTTGATGATACAATGGTGAAAGACACATGCATTGTGATGATTCTTCACGAAACGCATGTAAATCACCCACATGGCCTACACGACGCAGTTGGAACGAAGAAAAACAACTGCAGGAGGGGTTGATCTCTGAAAGCCGGCACACACATTCGAATGAACTGTGTCATCAACATACTTTGGCTTGGTTCAAGCCAGCAGGCTACTTTTTTGGTGGCATTATTGTGTTCCCATGTAGCCTGATACTGTCTTTCAATACAGGTCAGAAAGGAATGCAGTGAAAAATGTATGCAGTTCCTGTGCTTGCCAGGGCCAAGATGGACTGGCAGGGTGACACGAATTGGCCGTGACCTCAATTCAAAGTGCCCTATAGACCTCGCATGCAATGTTTGTAGATGCATGTGCCATTGGAAAGTGCCTCTATGAAAACCTATGAAAACCATGAGATGTATCCGGGTAGAAACTGGCAGTGTGTCATGTGAATCAGCAGGATGTGGGATTCGGTCTATGGCTGGGCGCCCTGCGGCGCGAGGCGCGACGCGAGGCGCCACGCGAGGCGCGACGCGAGGCGCCCGGCGGCGCAAGCGGCCTCGGACCACCGGGGCTTGGAACGCTCTTCCATGACCGGCCTGCATGCGGTTTTGCGCGTTTTGACTCGAGATGTTCAGATCCATAAAGTTCCGAAAACATGTATGATGTGCCTATGCAAGAAGAAAGTTGGACGTGCCTGGAACGTGTCTTTTTCTTTGGGAGAAGCAAGGGACGTTCAAGCCAGAAAGGGACTTTTGTATCTTTTGTAGGACTTTCTTGGCGTCACAGAAGTTTGGAGAGTTGGAAGATGGGAGTTCGGGTTTTCTCGTCGGTGCCTTTCTCAGGAGCGGGACTTGGGTCCATGGTGGGATCCTCAGGCACGGTGGGCGAGCACCGTGTTGGCCTTAACGACGTCCGCGGAGGGACCTTCCGGGACGTTTCCTGAGCGACGAACGACGCGTCCTTGCGACGTTGCACCGTTCGGCTGGAGCTGCGTTGGAGTTGGCCAACCGGATCCAAACATCAGAAGCACAGACTCTCCCTACATCAGAGGGGTTCACAGAGGCACAGATCAGCCCCTCTCTCACCCCCTGTCTCGATGGCTGTTTCTGTCAACGATCATAAGTTCAGTGTAGCAGGCAAGTTCCATCATCATTTTGCAAGTTGTGTGCACTGTAATGAGTGGAATTTCCATTCGTAAGTGGACGAGAAAGGAGTGTTGCTTTGAGGTGGATACGAGATGAACGGCTTGCCGTGGAAATACCAGGCCCTGGGTCACACAGATACCATATTTTCAATATCTCTTTCTCACGCTGACTTGGAGAGCTTCTAGATCTTGATGGTGTGATATCTCAAACAGAGTTGCCACGAAGATGGGTCATAATGAATTTTCACGCAAAGCAGATTGACTGAGCACCTGCACACTGACTCAGGAGCCACACGGCTACCAGCCCTACCAGTGGCAGGCACGGAGCCATAGTTATTGGTGGCGGATGGAAGATGAACGATTCTTCAGGGGCGTTTTTGACGGGGACTACATCATTTTGTCCCTTCATGGCAAATAGCTTGAGAATAGCGTATCGGGTCAGTACTTGTACCAATCGCTCCAGGACGATGGTAAGTCCCAGGGTTTTGATCCTGAGAGCCCCTGTGATTGGATCAAACCCAGATGGCACAGCTCAGGTTCCATCGTTCCGCAGAGCCCAATCAATCCTTGGGGTTATGCAATTCACAAGTATCTAGTCTGCTGGTGGTCCTGGTAGTGTAAATCTCTTGCAAAGCTTCGTACCTTTCAGGTGCAAAACGAAGTGCCAACATCGAGCGCTCCTGTAGAGGCGTGGGTCACATCAAAGTTGCGATGCGGTTGGGTACGAAGCTACTAGTCCTGGCATTACTACTAGGAACAAGAAGCTACTAGCAACATCTAGCAACAAAGGGCATCGCTACTAGGAGCCAGAAGCCACTAGTAGCAAGAAGCATCGAGAAGACATAGTCGCGGTTCAATGGAGCAGATCTGAACATGCTTCAGGTCTGTGTAGGTACATCGACCCCAGAAGAACGTTTGAACATAACGGCTGGTATTGGATGTCTTTGGGGTTGTACTGTTTGGACAGGTGCAGACTGCTGAACATAAATCATAGGTTGAGTACAATACACCACCCACCCGTAGATTCTAGACGTTTTATTTGTCATTGCCAAAGACATGACTTCGTGATATATTTCGTGCATGTTTTTTTTTCCTCTCAAACCCTCCTCAAAATTCTTAGGCTAAAGGTTTGAGTGAGGGGAGACAGGTCTGAAGTCAATAAAGATCGCAGACCAGGTGAAGAGCCCTTTGGAGCCGTCAGTGGTGCAGCTCAGGAGCGGTGGGTGATGGAGAGATGTGTTGAAAAACGCATTTCAAATCAGGTCAATTGGAAGAATCCCATTAAGCGGTTTTGCATTGGCTCTAACTAGAAACCACAAGCCTGCAGCGGGCATGGACGGGATAGGCTTGATACGACTGTCGCTGAGCGATTTGCACAGAGTTTGGATCAAACTTGGTCTTCACCTCTTACAACCTACTGGTACGTGAAGAGGGCCCTGGAGCTTTGTTTCTCCCTTGGGGTCTCCGATATTTTATGATTTACTGTATTTTTCAGTGCTTGACGTAGTGGTGCTACATTTCGATCGTGCCATTAGGCAACAGGTGAAACTGCTGCCGTGTGGAAGACTGAATTCTGAACATGGCGACCACTGCGACCACGACTTCTTGAAGCGTTTGTGGCTCAAGATTCGGAACCAAGGAGCACAAGAGCAACGAGTTTATTTTTAGTTTGTTTTCAGACTATCATTTCATGACACCCAAAGTGCGAGGATGACAGCAACAAGTCCATGCCATTTGGACAGTAACGCCTCTCCATCGTTGATGGGGAAGTGCCATATGCCTCACATGCCCGAGCAGATGGCTGGCCCGCAGATGGCTGGCCCAAGCCGGCCGGGCTCGAGAAGAAGGGCGGTTTGGGGAGCTGCCCTGGCGGTGATGATAGCGAGCCAAGCAGGTGAAGCAGGTAGAGCCTTTGGCTTTCACAAAGAGCACCATGCTCCTCCAGCACCTCCAGCACCTCCCCCAGCTCCTGCTTATGAGTATGCTTGGATTTGTGCTGCTGGAGTTTTGTGCATTCTTCTCATCATGTGGTACTATGCACGCAGGAACAGCTTGCGGCGGCCCTACAAACTGCCGGACTTGTCGCCCTCCAAAGGTGGCCAAGTGGCTGATGCCGAGGCCGAATTCCGACGCATCGTTTGCTTTCTGCAGGATGAACTCTTGATCCCCATTAATGCTCGGATGCCTGGCCGGCCCTTTGAGTATGATATGCACTCTTTCCCTTTTACTCCCATGGTCTTGGTCATTGGCAACCACTCCTCTGGCAAGTCAACCTTCATCAACAAGTTGTTGGGTCAAGAGGTGCAAGACACGGGTGTCGCTCCGACGGATGATGGTTTCACCATTCTGGAGCGAAGGACCACCACTGAAACAGAGGATGGTCCCACGGTCCTTGGCTGTCCTGAGAATCGACCCTTCTCGGACTTGCAACGCTTTGGACAGATCTTTTCGGGCGTCTTGAGGAGGAAGCGTCTCATTCTTCCTCCATCCTCTCAGATGCCATTCAAGCTGCAGATCGTCGACACGCCAGGCATGATCGACTTGCCAGTGAATGAGAACAGCTTGAGCGAGGCGAGGGGACGGGGTTACAACTTCGTGGAGGTGGTTCGATGGTGGGCGAAGCGAGCAGACTTGATTCTGCTGCTCTTCGATCCGGACAAACCGGGGACCACCGGAGAGACGTTGGACGTGCTCACAAAAGCATTATCTGGTCTGAATCACAAGTTCCTTGTGATCCTCAACAAGGTGGACAAGTTGGACAACAGTGTCGACTTCGCTCGGGCCTATGGAGCCTTGGGATGGGCCTTATCCAAGGTCATCAAGCGCAAGGACATTCCACCGATCTACACCATGTTCAATGAAGGCATGGAAGCTCCAGCAGGGCACGAAAGTCTACCACTGGAGAAGTTTGTGAAGAAGAGAGCCGAGGTCATTCAGGAAGTGCTCCGAGTACGAGAGCGACATAATGACAACATCATCACCTCCTTGGAAGAAACACTCCGACAGATGCAGATGACGGCTCGGATTGTGGATTCAATCCGATGGAAAGCGCGACGCAGCTACTGGAAAGTTCTATCCCTGGTGATGCTCAGCCTCGGTGCTGTGGCCTACATGCTGTCTAGAATCATGCAGGTAGCGGCTGATAATATCTCCCAGAAAGCTGCCGAGGCAGCTGCAGAGGCAGCTCACGCCCGGGCAGAGCAGAACAAATCCCGCTGGCGGTTCTTGCGACACAGAGCTGAGCCATTTCCCGTTCTCAATGAAGAGGTAGAGGAGAGCGACCCATTCGGCTTCAAGGTGTATTTCATAGTGATCACCTTGTACCTTCTCTTCTGCAGTGGGGTGATTAGATTCTTTTGGGACTACTATGCTCAGTCACAGAAGGAACTCTATATGACTGTGGACTCCACGTTTGAAGAGGTGTTCCACGAGAAGTTCATCCACGACGAGGCAGAGGATTTGCGATACCGCTGGGGCGTGGTTCGGCAAAAGGTTCTGAACATTCTGCAGGCCACGTGGTTCTACCCTTGGTTGCCGTCGACCGCAGCATGGGAGCATCGAAGAATCAATGAGGCCATGCAGAAGGACGTCTTCTATTTGCGTCAGTTGGCTCGGCAGTTGCGCCAGCCGGCACCCAATCCAGAAACTGGGAAATAGATGGACATAGCGATGGACATAGCAAGTTCTGCTTGCTTGGAAGAGCTCCAATAGATGCAACAATTCGTTTAGGTCAGAGGCCAAAAAGACGCCAGCACAAAGACTCTGCCGACTGAGGAAGCTCAACTCCATTCATTTTTGGGAGTTGCTGACGATTCTGATGGCTTCGCAAAGAGTTTATGTGCCAATTCGGCTCGGGTGGCCCTGACTATGAATCTCTAGCTACGCGGACAAAAGCACACGTGACTGGGAGCCAGTCTGCTGGGGTTACGCAGCTTCTTGATCCATGGGTCAGAGACTTTTGGTACATGAATCCTCAAATCCTTCCTCTTCCATGGGAACATGAGGCTGCTTGTCTTTCCAGAGTCCTCTTTAAACTTTCATCTTTGGATCAATTTGGATCTGGACCATCAAGTCTCTCAAAATCTCTCAAACCTCACTTTAACTTCCGCAAAAAAAAAGAAAGCGCACGTTTGCCTAATGGACCAGGCCCGCCTCTTCGCTGGTCTTCTCGGAGTGCCCCGATGAAGAAGACGTGAGGCCTCCGAATGGTCGCGGAATTGTCCCGGAATGGCCTTTGTTTGGCCCCAGTGGGCCACCTGCACCAACAAAACCCCCATAATTGATACATATTCCGGTGATTTCTGGTGAGGGTTTCTGCCGGCCGATTGGGACGTTCTCACTTCTCATTAGAGTGGGTATGGCATGGTATGGCTACAGCCTAGAAGGACAGGTTTTTTAGAGCGAGAGGACTTCGAACGTTCAAGGACAGATTTCGATATGTTTTGCTCGAATATCAGGTCAACATAAATCACCATTGGGGAATTCAAGAAAAAGAGTCTTGAGGGGGTTGGACCTGTTGCTCCGGTTTTGCTACTAGTAGCGATGCCCTTTGCTCCTAGTAGATTCTTGTTCCTAGTAGTAAGGCCAGGAGCTACTAGTAAACTACTAGCGTCCTTGCTCCTAGTAGCTCTGCGATTTGAAGGCCTCAACTTCCTTCTGGTCTCTTGGATGACGATGAAGAAGACTTCCAGGCTGGGTGGGCCCCACGCAGCCCACGCAGAGAGCCTGAAATTGACTGCAAGAAGTAGATTTGCTCGATGGTTGAGAGGAAACATTGGACATCCTTGACGATGATAGTACTTATAGATCCCTCTTGGTCGTGGTGCGGGATTCTTCCTCCAAACCGTGAGGTCTGGCTTTGGCCGGAGCTTTTAGATGATTTGTTGAGCCCAGCTGCAGGTGAAGACCAAGCGAGATCGCCTGGATGTGTCTTGTCGCAAAAAAAACATCCGAAAACAATCCATGCCTTTTGAGGCCCTTTGAGTCCCAAGGAGGAGCTGCAGATGTTTTCTTCAAAAACGGTTCCATTTCTCATGGCTTCCCCGGACCCACCGGACCCAGATGCGTCCCCAGCGCCTGCGTCATCCGATGGCTCCAAACCAGGCCTGGAGAGACCGGGAGAGTTTGCTCCTAGTGGCGATGCCCTTTGTTACTAGTAGTAATGCCAGGAGCTACTAGTAGCGTCCTTGTTCCTAGGAGCTCAAATAGCTCCTACTAGTAATGCTCTTTATTACTAGTAGCGATGCCGCCCTTGTTCCTAAGAAATGTGTCTTATGACTTGTGACTTAACTTCTCAGCTCCTTGTGACCTCTCCCGCCGCTCCTTGGCTCAAGCTGACGAGTGCAGTTTCCAGTGGCTCAAAAGACCATGGAAGAAGATCCTCCGGCAAATTACTTGTGTGACATTTCCAGCTATTGCCAAGATCTGGAGGACGTCTCTGAAGAGGAGATTCAATGGATGATGTCTCGACGCTGCCTTGAGGCGACAGAAGAAGCCTTGGCCCATGACTACAATGCTCAAGAAGCCAAAGAAATGGTCAAAGCCTTTGATGATGTGGGGATCTCACATTTACTTGGGATTCTGAGGTGGCCCGGAATTGGAACTCGCTGGCGTCCATTTGTGAAATGGATCCAAGACGGTGGTCGCTCCAGGACGATGCTGGAGGCCTTCAGTGGATTTGCGCGTTTTTTGGGACGAGTCACGACCTACCGAGCTTTGTCATTGGATTCAGAGGGCCTTCAGCGGATCCTGGAGGCAGGGGAAATCTTTCCCAGAGGCCAGCTGGATGTGGATGCAGCAAAGCTTGCAGAAGTGATTGAGCGACATGGTGTTGTAAAGGTGGTCGTAGCTCGTCTCTATATCGCCCATCTGAAACGTCTCATTGGTCACGATCCATCGGTCTCTCTTCACGATGATTGGCAAACGACCTCCTGCATTGCATCTGGCTACATGGGCTCTGGTAAGCAAGTGCACCTTTTCGAAGTCTCCGTGCCTGTGGTCGAATCACTTGGGTTACGGCTGAGCGAGGTGGAGGTGAACGCTGAGGCTTTTCTGGGCCCTAAGTACCGACCGACCGGCGATGGTTGGTTTTGCTTCCAAGCGCCGGCCTTTCCGGAGGGCGTCTATTTCGACCGCACGGTACAGCGAACGGAGAGGTATGGCTTGTACTCCGTGCCCTTCTTGAAGAAACGCTTGCGCAGAATGTGGAAGTTTCCATCTCCAAAGGATGTGGGCCTTGCCATAACTCCGTTTGCCCTCAGGCAAGCAGACATGCAGAAGAAGCATCCCAGGGGATGCGGTCCCTTGCCTTACTTGCAATAAGTCCAATGAAAGTGTTGCACTCCGAACCTTGATGTCATGTGATGCTCTTTGGCCTGCTCAGAAGCCAGTGTACAGTGACTTGGCTGACTTGTTAGAGCCTTGCCTCTGAGTCGTGCGAAATGAGCATTTGTTGCAGGCTTGATGCTTGATGTTCTTCTATCATTTTCAATCTAAGTTTGCAGGAGATGCCTTTCGATAAAACAACAAAGATTCAGCAATGATGTACATTGCCCGATCGTTTCTTTGTCGGACAACGACACCCAGGCCTCCTTCACAAGGTCATCCCAGGCTTCCGTCCAGTCCCGTCAGGTGCAGCATCCGACGCTGCAAGCACAATTTGGCATGGCGCAGGCGAGGAACATGGCGCCAATTTTTTGAGCATGTTTTGGAAATTCTTTTCTTTCTCGGATATTTTGCCTTTGATTGGTTGAGCAAGATGGTCTCCAAAGAATTCATAGAGCTGCTGATTTGCTTTGGGTCTGTTTACTTTACGCGACATGTGCCGGTGCTGCTTTAAGCGGAGGCGCATCCACTTCCCAGTGCGATCTCCCAGCAGGCGGATGACGTCCTGGTGACGTCCGGGATAGACGTCTCGGTTTTGCCCGTCTTAGATGAACTCTTCTTTCTGCTCCCGAGGGTTGGAGAGGAAAGAGAGGTTGGCTTTGACACGAGCAAATCGTTGGAGAAAGTGGATTTAGCCTGAAAAGACATGCAAAAACATTGAAAAACACAGCTTTAGGCATTGAGAATGCCTCAGGAACGGTTATTTTCCCCTAGCGGCCCTTTCCGCGGCAGCGGTACACCTTGTTTCGGTTCCCGTGCCAGGTGCCCTACTCGCGTCCCGTTCGGCAGCCCAGTCCCACCAGTGGATCATATGATGCGACCACTTCCGAGTAGGAAAGCTTCCCTACTCGGAGAGACGTAGCAATAATGGATATTGAAGCAATGGCGTTGTGTCAGAGGAAACGTATTGCTCACATCTTTCGCTGAAATTTGGAGGAAGACAGTTTGAATTCCAAGAAAGCAGAGAGCAGCAAGCTTACTTTTTGAGGATGGCCAAATCCAATGCTTGAAGTGAGCTGCCAGGCCCAAGTAGAAGCTGGCAGTGCGAAGAAACAGGCCTGGACATGACATGGCGTTTGTAGACAAGAAGACCTGATTAGTGTTTGTAGAGAAATGCCACCAAATTCGTGTGGAGCAGCTATCCAAGTGGATAATCTTCTTAGCAACCAGCACACAACATCCACACTTCAGGTGAACCGCAGGTTCAGCTGATCAGTTTCAGACCAGCCAATTGTTGTCAAACTTGCAGGAAAGAAAAGCCTGCACGAACAGATCCAGAAATTCCCTCGTCACTAGATAGACAGCCAAAAATGCAGTCCACATAAACCAATGATCGTGGATCTGCTGATCTACCGATACAAGAGGGAAGTCCTTTGCCTCCTAGGTCTGGTTGGGGGACAGTTTGAGTCTGAAGGCTTCCAAGCACATCCAGTGCAAGGAATGGTCAAAAAAGTACATGCAGCCCATGAATGAGTGACCCCAAATCCAATCACCATCTCTCCTCGTGCTGCCAATCTCTTTGTGTTTGGGTAAACGCGTCTGTCAGGCAAAGGCGACGATGCAGGCGGCCGGTTGTGTGGGTGGGTCGTTTGGCCTGACGATGCAGCAAGGCATCACTGGACTGGAAAATCTGTTTATATAGCCCTTGCCGGACTTAACATTTTTAACAGATCGTGCTGTAGACTCGGCTTGCTTGCGGACCAATCAAACTACAAGAAACTGACTGTTTGAGGGTTGGCAGAGGACTCATGTTTCACCACGGTGATTGCCACTCTCATTTAACTTGTCTGATCATTGGTTGCAACCTGTTTCAACTACCATGAGTCCATGAGCATGATAAATACATATATATATATATATAACTATATACAAATACCATGAATATCCATGGAAGGCCATTCGCATGATCACAGCACCTACCAGCACTTTCAACTCGCCTTTCTACCAACTCGTCAGCGCGGCGCTGCGCTGGCAGTCTCTGGAGGTCTCCGCGCTGGCGCGGCTCTGGCGACCCGACGTCTCCACTCCCACAGGCCCACCGGTGGAGGCGTGGGAGCTGCAGACATGGGGCTGAAAAACAAAGGATGCGCGCATCTGATCTTGGTTTTGCTGGCCCACTGAGAACTGAGAACTGGAGTCCCAAATGAATTCAAAACGATGTCGATTTATGGCCGTATCGTGTCACCTGCAACCGGGCATGTTGGCGGAGTATTCTGGCTGCATCGACCTACATGCCACTGCAGCATGGACAGCAGGCAAAGGGAAGCCTTTTGGGAAACCACTCCCAGCAGCTGATGACTGCCAGGTGTCTCCTGGTATCACTGTTGGACAGGTAGACGTCCGGACAGCCGAGACGGGTGGACGCCGGAGCACGGACGGGTGGTTTGGGCACTTGTTTTGGGAGCACATGCTGGTGTAAACAGTTTGTCTGAGTATCTCGAGACAGTTCTTTTGGTGCTTGTGATGTGCTGCTTGCCGGTGGGTTCTTTTGCTACGACTTGAAAAAACCTTGCAACCTGCATCCAGCACCGTTCGCTGGTGGCGAAAATGTGATGCGAATCCCGCGAATGTCGCACATGCTATATACTTGCTGAGGTGTGGGGCATGGCTTGTACGCGGGCTGAGTGGCGCATCGAAGACATCAGAGAGAAGTTGCAGGTGTCTCCCTCACTTGTTTGAAAAAAAGGTCCTGATTTGCTGAGTTTTGTGGTCAGACACACACATTGCTTGGACACATTTGCTGTGACTGTTCTTCGCAGGCCTCAATGGGGCGGCCCTTGGTCTCGCCGCCCTTCTCGGCACGTGGCCTGTGGGGAGCTGAGAGGATGGGTAGAGCATAGATGGATAGCTCGAATGAGAGGAGCAGAGTGAGGGGTTTGTAAGGATTTTAACCAAGGTGGCCCAATTGATTGCGAGTGAGTACTGCTATCGGAAGTTCTGGCTTCGCGGGCTACATCATCATTCTCAAATTCTCTTTGCTTCAACTCGTAGTCCTATAGCCTCCGGCGGCAGCGTGGTGAAGAAAGGCTGTGAGTAGTTCAGGACTGTGTACTAGCAGCTAGCAGCATTGATGTCAACCTTCTTGCCCCCTTTCACTGCAGTTCTTTGTTGTCGCGGTTTAGTACTTGGCCTATGTCTATGGACATGCTCCAGCAATTTATATAGATTTTAGATGCGTCAAGGTTTAGAGAGGCCGTTAAACATCGTAAAACCTGTGAATATCCGGTACCCTGTGTCATCCCTGCAAAATCCATTCTAGCAAGTGTGCGAACAAGTGACCTTGGGATCTTCTAGAATTTCCACAACTTGGTAGTTACTTCAGTGTGGGTTTGATACTTGGTTGTCTTCTCCAGAAAATGCCTTAGCCCACAAAAACCAGGGCCTTGACACAGATCCATTGATCCGAACGATGGAACAGAGTGGGAACTTGCCACAGATGAGGCCCAATCTGCGGCTCATGGTCTTCCCAGATGCCCGCGAGGTACCCTGTGTGACCTTGATCAGGTTTTGTCGGCAGAGATGCGTTCAACGGTCCATGCGAGTCCATGGTTTGTGCGACAAGTGTGGAAGACTGGAAACTGGGAACACGTTGGCTTGTCGAAGAACATCATGTTTCCAAGAGCTTACATGCTCTGATTGTTCCTGAACGTCGAGTGAGCGTGTCTCTTTTTCAAGTGATCCCATCGTTTGAGCAGAATTTCAAGACCATCAAAGCAACGAAGCGATCGATATCAATGATATATCAATCCATCCATTTCTTCGGGACTTTATCTACTATGCAGGCGGCAAAAGGCGTGCGCCAGCGTGAGCGTAAAGGCCTTTATGCCACTATGGTCACTTGGGCACTCAAGAAACCTTAGGTCCGAGCTGAGAAGTGCCAGATGTAGATAGAACATATCTAAATAACATATGAGCCAAAAGTTCCAGCCGTTTGGAAGGCTTGATGTCTTTTGTTCCAGCATTCCACAAGACCAGACAATTCAGCCAGATAGGTAGGGCCAGCTAGGGCCCTAAAAAGAGGGAAAAACACATGTCGTCTAGATGAGCCAGCCAAGGTGAAGAAGGGTCCTGTCCATGCGTCCTTGAAGTTGAAGGCAGACTGCCTACGGGATGCCACCGTGTCCTGGTGGCACAGGGTGGCCCACAGGCTTCGCAAGGCTTCGCAACTCGGAAGGCGGAGCTGGTCGGAATTCGTTCTATTTTTTGTCCGTGCGGTCCTCGTTCCATGCGGTCCGCTTGCGGAGATGTTCGCAAGGGCACGGGTGCAGAACTGAAACAGACATGGGGTAAATTATGGGTCATTTGCTCCCAACCCCAGAAACAAGAAGCTAGTAAGAACAAGTGCATCGCTTCTAGTAACAAGTGCCTTACTAGTAGTAACAAGAAGCTATTAGTCAATTCAATTTTATTTTAATTCTAATAGCTTCTTGTTACTACTAGTAAGGCACTTGTTCCTAGTAGTGGGTCATTTGCTCCCAACCCCCCCCAATACTCTCACTCAAAGTGCTTGCAGCTTTCATGTTGACTCACTTTGATGGGTTCAATAGACATTGGCTTGAGAGCATTTCCCTGTTGTTGTCCTTTGGACTCTGAAAGACCAAGTTCCAGACAGAAGATACCACAAGCAGTCTTGACTTTCCAATGAGCTGTCTTGATAGTTCAGCAGGATGC